GGATGGGATGGGATGGGATGGGATGGGATGGGATGGGATGGGATGGGGGAGAAGGTTTGGGAAAGGAAGGGAATTCCCGATCCACTGGGAATATTTGGGAAGGGAAGGAGGGCGGAGCTGTGCCAGGAGCAGGGATTGACACCAGATCTCTCCATCCCATGGGAATATTCGGGAATGGGAGGGTGGGAAGAGCCTCTAAATTTAATTTCCTTCCCTGCCCTTCCCTTTTCCCGCTTTTCCCAGACTCGGAGGGCGTTTTCCACGACCTGGACAGCGACAGCCTGGGCCCCCTGGGCGACTGCCTCCTGTCCGGGGCCGATCCCAGCCTGCTCCAGGCCCGGCTCGGGAATCCCATCGACCGCCTGTATTCCATGCAGAGCTCCTACTTCACCTCCTGACCCTGGAAAAGCCCTTCCCAGGAACCTCGGGAATGCTGCTCCCGCCTCCGAGCGGGGCGAGGGGATGGGGCGGGACTGAGACCCTCGGGATTGTTCTCCCCGGAGGAGCCGACGGATGGATCCGACCTCTCCCGGCGTTTTCCATCGGGATGGGCATTCCCGGCTGGAATCTGGTGGGAATTTCCCCCTTGTTTTCTATCCCGAGGGGGAATTTTCTGGCCTTTTCTCTCGGGTGAGGGAATTTCTGGCCAGAATCTGTCGGGACTGGGGATTCCGGGCTGGACTCCTGAGTGAATCCTCCAGCATTTTCCATTGGGACCAGGAATTTCCAGCCAGAATCCATCAATATTTGGGATTTCCCCTCATTTTCTATCAGGACTGGGAATTTCCAGCCAGAATCCATCAATATTTGGGATTTCCCCTCATTTTCTATCAGGACCGGGAATTTCAGGCCAGAATCCATCAATATTTGGCTTTTTCCGGCATTTTCCAGCATTTTCCATCAGGAGCTGCAATCCCTGCCCGAAATCCAGACTGAACCTTCCAACATTTTCAATCAGGACCAGGAATTTCGGGCCAGGATCCGTCAGCATGGGGAATTTGGGGGCGGAATCTGCCGATATTTGGGATTTTGAGGCCGAATCCCTCGGGATTCCCCCCCCCGGTGCCCATCCCAGGCTGTCTCCCAGTATTCCCAGCACAACTCCAAGCCCTAATCCAGCTGGAAAGGCTCTGGATCTCCTCCCTCCCGGGTTCTGTCCACGATTCCATCACTGAGATGGTGTTTTTAGCCCAGTTTTTTTCAGGAATGACCCGGGATCTCCCCAGAACGACTCCGTTGTTGGAATTCCCAGAGAAGTTTTCCCAGGAGCTGTTCCAGCCGAAGGAATAAAATCCTCCAGGATGAAAACCTCCCCCAGCTCTCTGACCGTTCCAAGGAGGAAATATTCCCGGAAAGGAATTCCCAGGACTGTTCCAAGAAAGGGAATAACGACTTACTTTGGGATCTGCAGAGTCGGGAATCGGGCGGGACAATCCCAAGGATTTGGCCGACGGATTCCTGGATGTGCTTTTGTCCCTGAGCCTCCACACGCTGATTCTTCCAGGTGGGAACCTCCTGGAGGAACCGAAAACCAGGGAAAAGGCAGATTTTTTGTCGGAGGGAAATTCCCTGGAACTAAAAATTCCTCGTGTTGGTGGTGCCGAGATTATCCCGGACTTCTGGGATCCGCCTCTTCCCATCCACGGACAACACTCCCAGACAGCTGGACACTGGTTTTTTGGGAGGGAAGGGGGGAGATTTTTCCCAAAAGACCAGATATTTATGGCACATTTTTGCCTGGAAAGGCGAGTTTGGGATGGAATCGGGAGAGTTCCCACCATCCCAAATCCCAGAATTCGCCTCCTCCATCCGTGTGTTCCCTTTGGAGGCTCCTGCCCTCGGGACGGACTCGGTTTAGGTGGAATTCCAGGAGAATCCACGGTGAAATTGTGGAAATTTGATGTTTCCCCCCCCCAGATCCCACTCCCCGAATCCCTCCGGATGCTCCCCGTGATCCCGTGCCGGTGTTTTGGGAATTCTCTTTTGCATGTACGTTGGAAAATAAACCCTCCCATGCCCCAAAAAAGCCAAGTTTAACTGGGAACGTGGGATTTTCCTGCCTTGGGAATTCCAGGGTGGGGTTCCTTTCCCGGGGGTTCAGGAAGCAGCTTCCCGAATTCCCGGGTTTGGCTTCGTTTCCCAGTTTCCTGAGCTCTCTGAAAACAGCTTGGGAAAGGCATTGGGAATATCCCATGCTCCTCTGGGATTTTATGGATAAACAGATTTAGATTTTAGGGATGAACAGACTCAGATTTCAGGGATAAATACATTTGAATTTTGGGGATAATAAATAATTTTGAGTTTAGGGATAAATGATTTCGATCTTAGGGACAAACGTATTCAGATCTTAGGGATAAATACACTTGGATTTTAGGGATAAACACACTTCCAGCCGTTCCAGGTGCTCCCCCTTGGCTGGGAAGGCTTCCCAAGGGATCCTGGGAACGCTTCCCCCCCTCTGGAATGCCCAGGTGTGTCTCCCTCTCTCCCCTGGACCGGGAGGATAAAAAGTGACCCCAAACCCCTCTGGAAGTGGCAGCAAAACACCCTCCGAGAAACCCCCTGGACGGGATCCAAGGAAAACAAAGGCTGGAATGTGGCTCTGTCCACCTCTCCCTGATTTACGGCCGCCCGGAGCCGGGGGAAGCCGAGCGGAAAACCAGGATATTTTTCCGGCTGAGGAATTAAAGCGGATTCCGGGCGGGTCCCTCGTCCCGGGATCGAGGGTCATCCCCCCCTTTTGGGGCTTGGAAAAGCTCCACCGGGAAGGAAAAGCGGCACCGACACCGGGAAAAGGTGGATTTGGTGTCCCGGGAGCTCCGGGAGGAGGAGGGAAAACAAGGAGGGAATGGATTGATCCCGGGATTTGGGGGTTTTTTGGGAGCACGGGAGCCCTTGGATCTGTTAATTCATTTCCCCAGGGATGTTGGGATGAGCTGGGAAGTTAAATCCGGGAAAAAAACCAGCTTTTAGGTGGTTTAACTCGCAGGAAAAAACAGGGATTTGGCTGGAAAGTGGAGTTGGGAGGAATGAAAAGTGGGAAAATCGTGGAATTAGGGGTGGGAATCATGGCAGGAGACAAGGAATTGAAGGATTAAAGTGACATAAAAGGATTCATGGGAATAAAGGACATTTAATTTTTAGGGATCAATAAATTTAATTTTTAGGGATAAATGACTTTGATTTTATGGATAAACAGATTCAGGTTTTAGGGATGGATATATTTCGATTTTAGGGATAAATAATTTACATTTTAGGGATAAACACATTTAATTTTTAGGGATAAATTTATTCAGATTTTAGGGATAACTATTTTTAGATTTTAGGGATGAACAGATTTCCAGTGAGGCCCAAAAATCAGCTGGATTTGGGCCTGGCTGGACCCTGGATAAGGATCAATGTATCCCAGGAATGGGGTGGATCCCTTGGGATCGGGATCAAAGCCAGGGGGGTTTTTAAATGCCCCCCAAACAGGGCTGGAAAGTTGGGAAAAGCCTCTCCCTGAGAATTCCCGAGGGAATTCCTGCTCCCTGCACATCCCTGGTCAAGTTTAATTCCCCCCAAAAATTCTCCTGGGAAGCCCCAATCGAGTCCCAAAAACTCATTTCTCCTCCCCCCCCCAAACCGGCTCAAATTCCCAGGATTACCCTTTTCCTGGGAGACCTCCACTCCTGCTTTTCCAGGGATTTCTGACCTTGCTGGCAGCATCCTGGAGTTTTCTCACATGGATCCCGCAATCCTGGGGCTTTATCCCACTTTTCCTCGAGTTTTAATGGATATTTTCAGGAATATTTGGATTTTTTTCCCCCCACTATTTATAGCCAGAAATTCCTGGAAAGACCTCAAGGCTCCCAAATCCCTGTTTTTCCCGGTGGGAATGGCTCCCTCTGCCGTCCCAAAGCAGGAGAGATCCCGGGAATCCCATCCCTCAAAAACTGGGAGTTTTCAGATGGATTAATTTGACTTTTATGGCCCCAAAGTATCCCTGAGCTTCCAAGGGCAGTGGGAAGAGCCAGGAATGGTTCTGGATCTTGGGAAGTGGGCGGGTTTTCTTGGGAAAAAAGGGAAATAACTATCTTTGATTCCCAAAGGAATTTTTGGAAGCATTCAGGTGGAAGAAAAACAGGGAAAAAGCGGATTTTTTTGGGTCACCTTCCAGCCCATCCCGAGGTTCCTGCGGAGCTTTGGAACTTGGAATTTATTTATTTATCTGGTTTTTTTTGGGTAAAACCCGGAATTCCCTGGGAAATCAGAGCTGTCAGGAATGTTCCTGCACTCCAGGGAAGCGGATCCAAGGAATCCCTGTGGGCAGAGCTGCACTTCCTTTTCCAGAGGGGGAAAATCCGGGACTGGAAGGAGATTCCAGAGGACACCAAGGCTTTTCCATCCATTCCCAGAGGCATACCTGAAGTCCAAGGATTCTCTAGGGAAAAACAGCCCAAAAAAAAAGCAGGAATAGGATGAGTTTAAGATCCCTTCTGACCCCAAAAATTTGTGCGGGATTTCACGGATCTGGGAGGATTTTGGGAGGTTCTGATCCCACTTTTATCCCAAACATCCTTCCCCAACGTCCTCCCTCCCCTGTTCCCTGAGGCAGGAGGGGATTTGTGTGGGATTTATGTGTCCGGGTGTCCTCTGGGGGGTTCCAGCCGCAGTAAGGAGCCTCTCCATCCAGTGGGAACATTCCTGGGGGTGCCGGGGCTCCCCTCAGGGCTCACTCAGATCTCCCCTCAGGGCTCATCTCAGGACTCCCCTCACCTCAGATCTCCCCCAGGACTCCTCTCAGGGCTCCCCTCAGGACTCCCCTCAGATCTCCCCTCAGATCTCACCTCAGGGTTCCCCTCAGATCTCCCCCAGGACTCACCTCAGGGCTCACTCAGATCTCCCCTCAGGACTCCCCTCGGATCTCACTCAGGACTCCCCTCAGATCTCCCCTCAGGACTCCCCTCAGATCTCCCCCAGGACTCACCTCAGGGCTCCCCTCAGATCTCCCCTCAGGACTCCCCTCAGATCTCCCCCAGGACTCACCTCAGGGCTCCCCGGGCTTCACTTGGTCGGCGCAGAGCAGGAAGGCGTTGGCGTGGGGGTGGCAGCTCCCGGCGCTCCCGGGGTGATCCCGCAGGCAGCGCTCGAAGGCCGCGAAGGGCTCGGCACAGTCCCGGCGGATCTGCCGCACGATGGGGCTGGGGGGGCACGGGGATGGGTCAGGGGGGCACCGAGATGGCACCGGGGGGAGAGGGATGGCACTGGGAAGGCACCAAAGGGACGGGGATGGCACTGGAGGGACAGTCCCAGTCCTTCCCAGTCCCTCCCAGTCCGGCACTAACTGTGCCGAGGTGCGCTGGGCAATCCCAAACCCCATCCAGTGACAATCCCAGTCCTCCCGGTGCCCATCCAGTGACAATCCCAGTCCCTCCCAGTCCCGCACTGACTGTGCCGAGGCGCACTGGGCGATCCCGAGCCGCAGCCGGTGACAATCCCTCTGCCAGGATTCGGGACTCGCGGCCACGCAGCGCCCGTAGCGCTCCAGCTCCGCCCCGCAGTGACGGGCTGTCAGCTCCAGGGCCAGTTCCCTGCGGGAATACCGGGAATGGGAAGGTCAGTAATGGGGAGGACACCGGGAGTCCCGATGGTCCCGTTAACACCGGGGGGGGACACGGGGATTCCGTTAACACCGGGGGGGGACACGGGAGGGTCCTTTTAACACCGGGGGGCACACGGGGGGTCCCGATGGTCCCGTTAACACCGGGGGGGGACACACACGGGGTTTCCGTTAACACCGGAGGGGGTCCTGGGAGGGTCCTGTTAACACCGGGGGGCACACGGGGGGTCGAAGTGGTCCCGTTAACACCGGGGGGCTCCTTAAGCCGGGGTGGGACAGGCAGAGGGGACCCTTCCCGCCCCGGCCCCGCCGCCCCTTTACTCACATGACGCCGCCGCCTCCGCCCGCACTTCTCCAGCGCGCATGCGCCGCCGCCGCGCTTCCGCCAGTACCGCTCCCCGCGCACGCGCGGGCGGAAGCTCCGGGGCGGGGGCTCGGAAGCGGAAGAGACGGGCCGAGGGCGGAGGGAAAATGGCGGCGGCCGCGGCGGCCCCTCAGGACGAGCTGGTCTCGTCGGTGACGCTCTACCGGCGGCGGCCGCGCCTCCTCCGCGCCACCGTCCTGCCCTTCGCCGCCGGGCTCTACCCAGCGTGGCTGTGGCTGTGGGGGCCGCGGCTGTGGGGGGCGCAGGGGGAGCAGGAGGAGGAGGAGCGGGGGGGGCCCCCCGAGGCGGCGCTGCTGGCGCTCGGCGCCATCGCGGCACTGCAGCTGCTCACGGCGCTGGCGGGGCTCTGGTCCGTGCACGCGCAGTGCGCGCTCACCTGCGTCAGGGTGAGCGAGGGGCAAAGGGGGGACTGGGGGGCTGAGGGGAAAAGGGGGGGATTTGGGGTGCGAGGGGCCTGAGGGGGGGAGTTTGGGGTCTGAGGGGGATTTTGAGGGATTTGGGACAGTGGGAATTTGGGGTTTGAGGAGGATTTTGGGGGGAATTTGGGACTGAGAATATTTGGGGTTTGGGGGGGATTTGGGACTGAGGATATTTGGAGTTTGAGAGGGATTTTGGGGGGATTTGGGACTGAGGATATGTGGGGTTTGAGAGAGATTTGGGGGGGATTTGGGATCCGAGAGGCAAAGGCATTAAATCCCTTTAAGGTGCCCCTTTCCCTGTTTGTGTCCCTGAACTCCTTCCCTCGATGCCCAGGTGGGAATTTCGGGATTGGGAACATTCTCTTTGGGATGTGTTGATCCCAACCAGCGCTCCTGGGCAAACCCCGGGATGGGAATTCCCATTTTTTCATCCCTCCCTCCAGGAGCCGTGTCCCAAAAAAGCCACCTTGGCCAAAGTGGTGCCGACCCCCAACAACGGCTCCGTGGAGCTGGTGCCGCTGCACCGGGATCAGGTGAGAGGATCCGCGGGGATCGGGAATTCCAGGAGATTCTGGGAGCTGCCGCCGGCTCGGAATTCCTTTTAGTCCTGTTAATTAGCAAAAATTACGGTTTTAATCACGTTAATTAGCAAAAAATCAGCTGGGATGGGTCTGACTTGGGGGGGGTGTTTCCACCAGCAGGGACAGATTGGGATTTTGGGAATGAATTTGGGAATTCTGCCCTCTCAGAGGTGAATTATCCCCGGGGCTGAAGGTTTATGTTGGATGATTTTGGACCTGGATAATGTTCAATTATTTTATCCTTTCCCAGGGCGAGGACGGGGAGGAGGCTCTTTCCTTCGAATTCCAGAAAATCAAGTATTCCTACGAAACCAACGGGAAGAGACAGTTCCTGCCCGTGGCCTTCCCGGTGGAGTATCCCCTGAGCTACTACCAGAATTCCAGAGGCTACCAGGAGGACAAGGAAATCCGGGCAGCAGAGAAGAAATATGGCACCAATAAGTGAGTTTTCCTGGGGTTTTTTTTGGGGAGCCAAAATATCCCCGTTTGGCAGGAAAAACCAGGATCAAACCGGAGTTTTAGTCCCGGAGTTGGAATTTTAGTCATTCCCAGGGTTTGCTCCAGATTCCTTTCAGGGCAGAGAACAGCTGGATTTGAGGGATAAGGTTGGGAAGAGAAATAAATAAGGATTGGGGAGAGGAAGGAATAACGTTGGGAATGTAGATTGGGAAGAGGAAGAAAAAGGAATAAAATTGGGAAGGGGAAGGAATTGACTCAGAGTAATTAAAAACCAGGAGATTTTTCTCTGGAAGTGGTTTTTTGGGATGGCATTTTGCTGAAATCTTGGAATGCTCAGGGAAACAAGGATGGATTTCCTGGATTTCCTTCCCAGGGCTGAGATGGTGGTGCCAGAATTCTTGGAATTGTTCAAGGAAAGAGCCACAGCTCCCTTCTTCGTCTTCCAGGTAAAACGTGGAGACAGAAAGGGGGGGGAAATTCCTTATTCCTGCTAAAAAACCAGGAGCATTTATGGATTGAAAGCCAGGAATGAGCTGGGAAGATTCCAGGAATCAGGAATATCTGCTGGATTGGACCTTAATATTGATTTATTCCTGGGAGTGACCCTTTTGCCCTGGGATTTTTCCAGTTTTCTGGAATTCTTTAAACAAGATGATTCCTTAAAATTCCCATTCCAGTCCCCAGAAATTCCTGGAATTTAAGGGATTCTGACATGGATTGGGACAAACAATTCCTGACCCCTTGGGTGTTTCTGGGAGGGAGATTTCCTGCCTTTCCGATTTCCCTCATGAAATACTGAAATTATCCTGGATAAACAAAGATACATCCTGGATTTTAAGGAATTCTGGCCTGGATTGGGATCATTCCTGTCCCTCCAGGTGTTCTGTGTGGGGCTGGGGTGTGGGGACAGTTCCTGACCCCCGGGTGTTTGTGGGAGGGAGATTTCCTGCCTTCCCAGTTCCCCCCAGTGAAACACTGGAGTTATCCCGACTGAGCCGAGCTGCCTGCCGGGTTTTCCCGGGATTTTCCAGGTGTTCTGCGTGGGGCTGTGGTGCCTGGACGAGTACTGGTACTACAGTGTCTTCACCCTGTCCATGCTCGTGGCCTTCGAGGCCTCGCTGGTGCAGCAGCAGATGCGGAACATGTCGGAGATCCGCAAGATGGGCAACAAGCCCTACATGATCCAGGTAAATCCGGGAATTCGGGGGGATTTCCCTCCTTTTCCCGTGTTTTTATGGCTAAAACATCCCTTTTTTGGGGGTTGCAGGTGTACAGGAACCGCAAGTGGCGCCCGATCTCCAGCGACGAGATCATCCCGGGGGACATCGTGTCCATCGGTATCCGGGGCCTCATTCCCAGGGATTCGGGGCATTCCCGGCGTTCCCGGGGGGTTGGGGTGGGTTGGATCGGGGTGAAAAATCCCACGGCCGCTTTGGTGGGATTTTAATTCCCATTTCCAGGGTTGGATCTCTTGGAGTCTTGGTTTTAATTCCCTTTTCCGAGGAACCAGGAGAGAAATCCTTGGGCTGGAATCTCTTAATTCCCATTTCCAGGGATTTTTAATTGGTTTTAATTGATTTTTCAACTGATTTTTAAGTCGATTTTTCAATTGATTTTAATTGATTTTCAATTGACTTTAATTGCTTTTGAATTAATTTTTAATTGATTTTAATTGATTTTTGTTTTATTTTTCATTGATTTTAGCTGATTTTTAATTCGCTTTAATTGATATTAATTTATTTTAATTGATTTCTCATTGATTTTAATTGGTTTTCAAATGATTTTTCATTGGTTTTCATTGCTTTTGAATTGATTTTTAATTGCTTTTAAATTGATTTTACCTTGATTTTCGTTGCTTTTCCCCTGGAATTTTTCCCCGAGGTGGCAGAGGGTCCCAGGGAAGGCTCTTTGCTGGTTTTTTTGGGGCTGATTTGGGTGTTTTTGGGCCAGGCCGTTCCCCCCAGGACAATCTGGTGCCCTGTGATGTTCTGCTGCTGCGGGGCCGCTGCATCGTGGACGAGGCAATGCTGACAGGAGAGTCCGTGCCCCAGATGAAGGTGGGGATGGGGAACAGGGAAAGGGGAGGGAGAACCCTCAGGAACTGGGGAGAACCCTCAGGAATTGGGGAGAACCCTCAGGAACTGGGGAGAACCCACAGGAACTGGGGAGAACTCACAGGAATAGGGGAGAACCCACAGGAATAGGGGAGAACCCAGAGGAATTGGGGAGAACCCAGAGGAATTGGGGAGAACCCTCAGGAATTGGGGAGAACCCTCAGGAATCAGGGAAAAGAATCAAAATTTATCAGGGAAAACAGCCAAAAATCAGGGAAAACCCCTAGTTTTTCCTGCTTCTTGTGCCAGTGGGAGACTTAAGAAGTATAAAATTTATTTTTGTTATTATTGTTGTTATTATTGTTGTTATTATTCCGATGGATTTCTTTGGGAAGGGGCGAGCCCCCCAGCCCCACCCTCCCCACAGATTCCAACCCTTGCACCCTCCCTGGCACGATCCCGTGCCGTTCCCGTTTTCCTTGCTCATCCCGGGGCCCATTCCCTGTTTCCCTGCTGCAGGAGCCGGTGGAGGACCTGAGCCCGGAGCACGTGCTGGACATGGAGAGCGATTCCCGGCTCCACGTCATCTTCGGGGGCACGCGGGTGGTGCAGCACATCCCGCCCCAAAAGGCCTCCTCGGGGCTCAAACGTGCGTCCCTGGCCCCCCATTCCCGCTGGGAATGCCGGCAATTCCCATGGGATCCGCTGGGATTCAGGGGTGGTGCTGTGGCAGCCTGCTGGCACTAATTAACGGCCTGGTTAATGAGCTGGGGGGAGCTAAATGAGCCCCTGGGGGGAAGGAGGGGGGAGCTCCGGGTGCTCCCAGGCTGGAGGGACCCTGGAGTAGGTTTGGTATTAATTAATTAATAATTAATGAACTAGTGTGATTATTAATGAACTGGGAGGGTCAAATAAACTCAGTTCCTCTGGGGGTGCGAGGAGGGGGCAGCTCCTGGGCTGGAGTGACCCTGGAGTGACCCTGGGGAGATTCATTCCAGGCTGGAATGACCCTGGAGTGACCCTGGAGGGATTCACTCCGGGCTGGAATGACCCTGGAGGGATT